CAGAACCAGAAGGACAGGGACAGCGGGACAGAGAGAGGGAAAGACAGGGAGGGAGGGAGGGAGAGAGAGAGAGACAGAGTTAGCCATTCGTGCGCCAGGCCGCGCGCGCCGGGTACCTTGGCGGCGGTCTCGTCGGCGGCCAGGAGGCTGTCCTCGGCCCGGTGCAGCTCCTCCAGCACCCGGTCCCGCTCGTCCTCCGACGCCCGCAGCAGCTTCTCCTTGGCCGCGATGTCCTCCTCTAGCTGCGGGCAGCGCGGGCGCGGGCGGCCGGCACGGACCGGGCGTTAGACACGCACACACACGCGCGCACACACGCACACGCGCGCACACACACACGCGCGCACACACACACACACGCGTACACACACGCGCGCACACACAAGCGTNGCCGCGATGTCCTCCTCTAGCTGCGGGCAGCGCGGGCGCGGGCGGCCGGCACGGACCGGGCGTTAGACACGCACACACACGCGCGCACACACGCACACGCGCGCACACACACACACGCGCGCACACACACACACACGCGCACACACACATGAGCGCCGGGTTGGCTGGGGCCCCTCCGGCTTGGGGCGCCGACCAGTTTAGGTTCAGGGGTCCCCAGGTAACCTCCTCTCGCCGGAGCTGGAGGCAAACCACGGCCCACCCAGCACCCCGAGCTCCCCCCTCCCCCAGGACGAGACTCCTACCAGGTCCCAGCGGGCTCAAGTCCACAACTTGGGGGGGGGGGGGGGCAGAAAAACGCCCCTATGTTCCTGGCCTGCGGGCCGTACTCTGTTCTTGGGGGAAAAACCCCGTGACCGTAGGTCGCACCCCGGCCTCTGCCCCAGGTGAAGGGTTTAGTCTCCCCAGGCAAACGTCCCGGGGAACTTCTAACACTTTCTGGACTTGATTCCCTTCAACTCCCCGCCTCCCTACACACACACCTCTTCCCACCCCCAGGGATCCCAAATTGATTCCCGATCCAGGGAATGAAGTGCCCCTAGGGCTTGACCCGACCCCGCGGGCTCCGGGGACCCAGGAGGGAAATGCACGTCCTCAGACGAGACGGAAAAGTTAGAATGAGCCCGAGTCCTGCGCCCCCCCCTCAGACGCGCGTCCCGGGCCGGCCTGGGGGCAGGTGGCGCCCCGAGTCCTCGGGGCTCGGGGCTCGGAAGGGGTGTCAGGCCGGGTCCCAGGGCGCGGGGACCCCCATGCGCGGGGGG